TCCTCTGTATGTGTGGGGTGAATTCCCACAAGGGAGCCTTCCCTGCCAGCCCCACGCCATCAGCACACAGGTCTTGCTGCCCATTGGCGTCCACCAGCCTCGGCTTCTTCAGTGATTCCTAAGTGCAGCTCCTGTCTCTCTTTTACCTTTGCTCTCCCCAAAAGATCACTGGGTTCTTTTCTGTGCTTTTTTCCTCTGTTGTTGGCATTTCACCCTGTCAGAGAGCCCACACATGGCCAGTGCTCCCTGCAAGCTGTACTGGACACACTTGAGACGTTACATCACAATCTACATTGCATCTTATTTAGAAAATACTGGACATTTTTATTTTTTCATTTATATTTTATCAATTTGTTTCCCAAACAGAAAGCTCAAATACGGGACTGTCCAGTTCAAAACTGGACGCCTGGCCACCCTAAAACTGTGTGCTTGGGCAGCCCCTCAGGAGAGATTCAAATGCCACCACCCAATTAGCAGAGCGCCCACTGCTAGGTTTTTAGTTTCTACTGCTGGTGCACATTCACCCATGCCTCAGTGCACATTAGAATTATTCTGCACATAGGTGTCAAAGACTAGTGGGACAATGCACACAGTGCCACCGTATCTACAGGCAGTCCCCGACTTACGCGGATCCGACTTACGTCGGATCCGCACTTACGAACGGAGCTTTCTCGCCCCGGAAGTCGGGGCGAGAAAGCCCCGTTCGTAAGCTGCTCCGGTGGCCCTGGTCTGCTGGAGACCGTCTCCAGCAGACCAGGGGCACCGGGCGGGTTCCCGCACTTCTGAGGCTTTGCCAGAGCAAAGCCTCAGAGGCGCGGGGAACCGCCGCTGCTGCCGCTTCAGTCAAAGTCTGAATCTGGACGCCAGTTCTGACTTACATACAGATTCAACTTAAGAACAAACCTACAGTCCCTATCTTGTACGTAACCCGGGGACTGCCTGTATATCTACTCTCCAGTGTCATCTGAAATTTGAGCTGTGCAAGATACAGGGAGGTGACCATACAGTGTTGCCAATAAATTGATTCTGTTCCACCAGAAAAAAAAGCTTCAATCTGAACAACACAAACTGATCCTATTCATGCT